AGTAAGAGGTTTTGCATAAGAGAGAGATTGACAAAGTATAAAGACAGCAAAAAAAAAAAAAAAAAACAAGTAAAAGAGAGAAAGATACACATGGCATAATAAATTTCTTTTTAAAATCTCTCCATATATGAAGAAAAAACTTGGGAAGAAAATGTGGCGAGTTTCACTTTCTATTTTCTCCTCTACTTTTTCTTGCTTTTATTTTTCCTTCCTCATTTAAATAGGAAAAAATTTGTCTTCTTCTCAATTTTCCTCTTATATTTTCTTTCCGCTCATATTTTCTCTACAAACAAACAAAGCATTAATGTTGGTTGAGCATTGATGTCTTCACAAAATTATTGCATCTATGATTGGATATAGCTTGGAGGTGGCGATCTACCCTCAATAAATTTTAAACTTCAATTTCTCTTCTATACCTCAAAATCAATTATAATTAATTTATTAGATAGTGATTAAAACCTAGAATGATACATTTTCAATTACTTTTTGAGTGCTCTAGAATGTTATGTCACCGTCTGAGTTATACTCTCCTTCAAGTGCTAACTTATACCATTGATGACATGAAATTGGAGGGCTATTTGATTAATGTTTATAATTGATCTTAAGTGGAGGACTTAACACTAGAAGGTGCAATCAAAAGTGAAAGAATTAGGGGGTTAAAAAAGTATAATCAAAGTCAATGTCAATACATTAACTGCGCAAGACACATAAAGTAAATAAGGCCTTATTCTTTTCTTTTTTTGGATCAATTAAATAAGACCTTATTCTTGCTTATTCAAACCTAAATACGTATTCCTTCCGGTCCTTTTTTTAAGTCGCTTTTTAGAAAATTGGCTTGGTCCTTAATATTAGTTGCTCACCTTCATTTTGTGCAATTGTTAAAGGATGTTTTCAAAAATGCCCTCCTATATAGTATTTTTAAAAATAAAGTTGGTAATTTGAATCAAACCTAATAAGCTAACTCGAACTCACTCAACAAAATTTTGACCTAGCTTAACATAATAATGGTTTTTTGATGTTTGGGCTTATTTGGGCCATACCCGACCAGATTTGGGCTTGGCCCGAATACCCAAATAAAGAAAATATATATATATATATATATATATTAAAAATATATATAATATAATAAATATTAATTAATTTTTTAAGTTTTAAATCATTTTATACTAAAATATCATATATTTGAGGGCATTTATATTTATATTTTTTAAAAAAATTAAAAATATTTATATTGTCACATTTTTATTATTTTTAATCTATAAGATATCTCAAAATAATATTAAAATATATTTTAATATTAATTTTTAGATTTTAGACCCCACATATTTAAAATAATTTTAAAATTTGGATATTAGGGTTGCCAGAAGCCAGAAGGATTTTAGATTAGATTTGACCATTCAAGCTTTTCAGGGAGTCAGGCACCTGAATTCTCAACCCTACCGAAAAAAAGATGAAAAGCAAACTGTAAAATGACATTTTTCAAAAAACCTCTACACAAATTTTCAATTACTTTTTTTTTTTTGGTATTTTTCCCACACACTCTCTCTCATCATCATTGCCTATAAGATAAATTATATAATTATTTATATTTAGGGGGCAAAGTTGAAGAGTGATTTATGTTTAAGATATTTTTATGAATCTAACTAAGTCATCTTGATTTTAGTAAGTTAGGAAGAAGTGACTCATAAAAAGAATTATAAGGGCATATTGAAATGGAGCATGGAAGTTGAAAAATATGAATAGTAATTAAAGTGCAATTGCAAATAGTCAAATTTAATGATTTAATTATTTTGCACCTATTTTATCAAATTATAAGTAATTTTACATTGTCCTTCATTTAAGAATACTAGATGCTTTTTGGAGAGAAGGTTAACATTTTTGTACTTTAGCCCTATTTTTTTTGGCCAAACAGTCCAAACTTTTTTCTCAAGTTATATGATTAGGTGCTTATCAAATTATGAAATTATACATTTTTCTGCCATTTTTTAATGAAAATTTTTTGTTTGTTCTCTTAGTTGCGTATTTTGATTTTCTTTCTTGTTCTCCAGTCCTCTTGTTTAGTTTCCTATTTCATAGATTAGTTTACTAGTTTTTAGTCATCTTGCTTTGGGAAGGATTTGATTAGTTTTTTAGTCATCTTGCTTTGAGAAGGATTTGATTTTTGTATTTTATGTCCTTAAAACCGTATATAACCACTAACAAGCATAGATATTAATGTATTATTAGAAGGAACTATGATCACTTAAACATAATTTTGAGCTTGTGAATATTGAAAACATTTTTGAGAATGATAAATTTTTTCTCTTACGTTCGTCCGACCACTGGTGCTTACACAAACTAGTGCGTCTATGACTGGAAATAGCTTAAAGGTGGCCGATATACCCTCAATAAATTCTAAACCTCAATTTCTCTTCTATACCTCAAAATCAATCATAATTAATTTATTAGATAGTGATTAAAACCTAGAATGATACATTTTTAATTACTTTTTGAGTGCCAAGGAATGTTATGTCACCGCCTGAGTTATACTCTCCTTCAAGTGCTTGCTTATACCCTTGATGACATGAAATTGGAGGGCTATTTGATTAATATTTATAATTCATCTTAAGTGGAGGACTTAACACTAGAGGGTGCAGTCAAAAGTGAAAGAATTAGGAGGTTAAAAAAGTATAATCAAAGTCAATGTCAATACAATTTTTTTTTTGGATCAATTAAATAAGACCTTATTCTTCCTTATTCAAACCTAAATGCATGCTCCTTTATGTCCTTTTTTAAGTCAACTTTTATAAATTTGGCTTGGTCTTTAATATTAGTTGCTCACCTTCGTTTTGTGCAATTGTTAAAATGTGCTTCCAAAAATGCCCTTCTATATAGTATTCCCAAAAGTAAAGCCAATAATTTGGGCTAACCTGAATTCGTTTAAAAAAATTTAGATTTGAGCTTAGCAAAATAATAGTTTTTTTTAACGTTTGGGCCTATTTGGGCCAAGTTTGATTAGGTTTGGATTTGGCCTGAATATCCAAATAAAAAAAACTTATACTTTAAAAATATATAAAATATAATAAATATTAATTAATTCTTAAAATTTTATGTCATTTTATATTAAAATACTATATATTTTAGTGCATTACTCTATATATATATATATATATTGAAAAATTAAAAATATTTATATTATCATATTTTTATTATTTTAAATCATAAAAAATATATTTTAAGACCCACATTTTTTGAAAAAAGAATTTGAGTTCTTATTTTTTATATAACAAAGTAATTAATTTTAATGTGAACAAATAAAAAAATTAAAAATAAAATTTAAATATTAGGATTGTTAGAAGTCAGAAAGAATTCAAACTAAACTTGGTCATTTGGACCTTTTAAGGAGTTGGGCACTTGAATTTCCAACTCTACCCAAGATGAAAAGCAAACTGTGCAATGACCTTTTAATTTCTGAAAAACCTCTGCACACATCTTCAATCACCCTTTTTTTTAGGGAGAATGACAATTAAGGACCTGCTAAGAACATTAATCCCAATTACGGACCGTGAAATTTTGAAATCCGAGTTAAGGACCATGGTCCTTAATTGTGATAAAAAAATGAAATTTGTGAGGTGGGATTCACTAACGCGACTTGGGAATTCACTAACCCAACTTGAGAAAATTACTAACGTGTATTGTGAAAACATGAAACCCCACTTGGAAATGAAATGTTTAACAAAAAGCGTCACTTGGGAATTCACTAACTAGACTTGAAAAAATTTCTAACGTATATTGTAAAAAAATGAAACCCCACTTGAGAATCATTAATAAAAAGTGACTTATCCAAATTGGTGTTTTTTATTAAACAATCGATTCCCAAGTAAAGTTTCATGTTTTCACAATATACGTTAGAAATTTTTCCAAGTCTAGTTAGTGAATTTCCAAGTGGCGCTTTTTTAAACATTCCATTTCTAAGTGGGGTTTCATGTTTTCACAATATACGTTACAAATTTTCTCAAGTTGGGTTAGTGAATTCCCAAGTGGCAATAATGAATCCCACCTCACAAATTTTATTTTTTTTATCACAATTAAGGACCATGGTCCCTAACTCGGATTTCAAAATTTCATGGTCCGTAATTGAGATTAATGTTCTTAGCAAGTCCTTAATTGTCATTCTCCCTTTTTTTTATGGGATTTTCCCCCACACACTCTCTCTCATCATCATTATTTATAAGATAACTTATATAATTATTTATATTTAGAGGTAGAGTTGAAAAGTAATTTATTTTAAAGATATTTTTATTAGTCTAACTAGGTCACTTTGATTTTTAGTAAGTTGGTTGAAAGTGACTTATAAAAAAAAAATAAAAAAAGTATTATAATGGCGCATGAAAATTGAAGAATATGAACAGTAATTAAAGTGCAATTGTAAATAGTCAAATTTAATGGTTTATGTATTTTTGCATTTATTTCACCAACATTATGAGCATTCTTGCATTGTCTTTTATTTAAGCATTTTTAGGTGCTCCCTGGAGAAAATGTTCATGAATATTTTTGCCCTTTAACCCTATTTTTTTATTGGCCAACCAGTCCAAACTTTTTTCTCAAGTCATATGAATAGGTGCTTATCAAATTATGAAATTATATGTCTTTCTGCCATTTTTTAATGAAGATTTTTAGTTTGTTCTCTTAATTGCCCATTTTGTTTTGCTTTCTTGTTTTCCAGTCATCTTGTTTAGTTTCCTATTTCATAGATTAGTTTGCTAGTTTTTTAGTCATCTTGCTTTGAGAAGGATTTAATTAGTTTTTATAGTCATCTTGCTTTGGGATGGATTTGATTTTTGTATTTATGTCCTTAAAATGATATGTAACCAGTAACAAGCATAGGTATTAATGTAATATTGAAAAGAACTATGATTGTTTAAATGCGAAATCTCAAATTTGATTCTGTGTGAATATTGGAAACACTTTTGAGAAAGTTATTCTAGTTGGACTTGACAATCATATATGACCCATTTGAGAAAGAAATATGTTGAGTGGTGATATGCACATTCATAAACTAGCTCTTCAAAAAGTTATTTGCAGTGAGTAAAAGTGAGACTACAATCTCAAGCATCCATGTACATGTTAGGACCCTAGTATTAGGAATATGCTCTCATAGAAGCAGAACCATTTCATTTACATAACCAAGTTATCATATAGCCACTCCCTCATAATCATGAAGGCTTTCTCAGCATCAGCATCCTCTTCAGGTGATCCAGGCCTGTGGGCAAATCCATGACCTCTACCTTGGAATATCACTACTTTAGAACCTCCATGAATTTTCTTGTCAATATTCTGTACATCACTCACAGTACAAAGTGGGTCATTGTCCCCTAAAATAAACAACACAGGAACTTTTACATCAGAAACATCCAGGGATTGCATCCTTGTTCCATAAAAGGAGACTCCTGCTCCAAAACAAGCACCATTGTCTTGTGCTAGCACCTCTAACACCCGACTGCCTCCGAAGCAGAAACCTACAATGCCAAGTATTTTTGGAATTCCCGCGGCCATGAATTCATCAGCCATCCATTTTGTCCACCTCCATATGTCTTTAATGATTCTCTCGTGGCTTTGTATAGCAATCCACTCTTCAAACATAGCCTCCGGCCGATCCCTTGACCATGGGTTTCCACGAAATAAGTCTGGAACTAGGACGCTGCAATTTTATGCACAAGATAAGATAATAGGCTAATGAATTCTTCTACCAGGGAATGATCCAACGCACAATTGAGAATAATTTTCTTTCTTTAATTTATTCTAAAATCATTTTGTCTGTTTCATCCTATTCTCCTACAGTTCATTTCATTACCAATTCTCCCCATTGTGTAATATTTTTTTTTTGTTATTTTTTCATGCTATAATGGTGTTAAAGTATGAACGTTTTCATTTCTGCATGTATATACTACTTTGGTTTAGCTCGGACCCGAAATGGAGAATGAGAGAGAATGAAAATAGTGATATCTGAATGATAAATGAGACCTTGTATCTTAAATATTTCGATAACATTTTGAAGCTAGTACTAATATCAAGAAGAAATACTATGAAGATACTCCAAAAAAAAGGGTATGAATTGGACATTTCAATAATGAAATATTTCGTTGTTTAAACACTCGTATAGTTAATTTTGTTATAATTTGGATGAAAATACCAGAGTGATTAAATGGCAACTGATAATTAATAAATGACAAAGACAAATTGATTCTGCAACTAACCAAAGGGGGTAAAGTATAACTAACCCTAAAATCAAATTGCAATTTTGAAAATTAAAGATTGATACTAACTTGAATCTGAGGAACATACTTGTAGCCATTGCAAGCAATACGATATGCAAAGTCTCTCGTGAAAGAATCCTCGAAGCCAAAAATATCTGAAAGAAGCAATATGCCAGTTTCATTATTGTTTTTGACTGCCTGGAAGAGATAAGCTTGGATACTATCTTCAAACTCCCCAAGCGACACCTCCACTCCGCTGACTAATTCACATGCTTCATCATTTGGATCATCTTCGACCTTCAGTAAGCTACATGCTATTTTTTGGTCTGCAAAGTGTTTAACAGATTTTCGAAGACTCTGATTGCACTTTTTCTGGAAACAAGCTGAAGAATTATAGTAAAAAGCTTGCATATTCAAATGGTACAAAAGAAGGCTGCTAGCCATAAGTTATTTTAGGAATGATGAAGAAATTTTTTCCCTTCAAGAGGATACCCTTGCTTGAAAGGGAATCAAATACGCATGTCTTCATATATACAAGAAAAAAGTTCATAATTTGGGGGGGAAAACAGTTGAATCGTGGGAAAATTAACAACAACACTTATCTTGATCCAATGCAGCATTCAGCTGATGGTTTTACATATCCAAAATCACATAGTCAATTTCTTAGACCCTTCAAGAAGAAACCATTGGAACTCGGGATTAACTCTAATTTGATGAGTACCTAGTCTGGCCACATTTTTTAATTGCGCATTGGTGTCTTCTTAATGGAAGTAATCCTGTTTGAGGTATGGTCAGATACTAAACTTAGGCTAGCCATTTCAATTGGACCTAACCTCCATTTGAAGTGTAGCCACATTTTGAAATCCAGCTTGATAACCTTCATTCAACTGTAACTGGATGAAGGGAAAAAATTTTGATATCCGTCTACAAGGTAACTACAATTTTGAAGGTTTGTCCCATTTTAATAGCATTATAATATTTTCCTTAAGTGTTGACAACCTAATAATCCTAGTTTATAAACTGTAATCTGCATCTTGGGCAGCTTAATGCTCAAAACACAAAAATTTAGACAAGCACAAGCATGGGAAATCCAAGATTCAAAACAGTTTCAATTTAAAAACAAATGTGTGTAAAATATATCGTCAAGGAATAATATATCCACCACAATTTTTTAATCTGACATTAAGCAACTAACAATTGTATTAGAGATTCCCACTTGACTGTAAAAGAAAAATTCAAGTGAGAATCTCAGAAACAGATCTAACAAATAGTATATAGAGTGAATGCTACGAAGAACATACTGAAAAGGGGCCGAGAAGGGGAGATGTGAAAGTTGAGAGGAAGCGGCAGTGATTACGCGGAGGCCTTGTGATATTTATCGGAGGGCATACTGAATCGATGACAAGTGATGCTAACCCCATCTTCTTCTTCTTCTTGTTTTTCTTGTTCCTTTCCTGTGCCACCAATAAACGCCAGCCTTTTAAATACCAAGAGAGAGACGGAAATATCTCAGAGCATGGAATAAGGTTGGGGCCCAGTATTCGACTGAATTACAGAACTAGGAAGAACTCCAATCAGACAACGAAAGAAGGGGCCACATCTGTTCAACTTGCTGCCCTCAGTTCTGTAACTAACACCTTCCAAAATTTTGCTATCAACAATTCCTTCATAATGGAATGAATGGATATAGTGAAACATAACCAGAAATTCAAAGGCCATGTTACCACACAAGCGGTTCCTCCGTTGTTATTCAAATAACACTTCCAATTCGATTATAAATCAGAATCGCTACCCAAATTTATGGCCAATAATCCCAAAATAAGAGAATGTAAAAGAATTTCACAGAGAATTTAATTGAAAGGTCAATAATAGCAGCTCACTTTTTTATTTTGCACTCGATCAGAGATGGCAATGTCTCCCTTTTCCTTTCAACAAAAAGCCATGGCCACCGTTAAGTGCCGAAGATACAAGCACCAAAGAAGAAGAATAGAACAAGAAGCTCAACTTGAAGAATACATTGGCTAAATTAGTAGAGTAGGTTAACGGAGGCGGATTTCCTGTTTTACTTGATATAATTCATTATAAAAATAATTAATTAATATGAGTGGTTTTAATTATAATTAATCATATTTAAATACTGTTTTTGTGAAATTAATTTTGAAAGATGATAGAAATGTCTCAAAATGATCAATTAATTTAACTTAAATCTCAGATATTAAATTCTAAAAATTTACAACTCAATCTCTTAATTTTACAATTATGTTATAATAAATTTATAACTTGTATTCCAATTTTTCATAACAAAATAATTTTTTTATTCTTCAATCATATTAAAATTTAAAAAATAAGTTGTAAATTCATGACAAAATAGTTATAAAATTGAGAAATTGAATTGTAAATTTTTAAAATTCGACACTTAAAACCTAACTTAAATTAATTAATTATTTTAAAACCTCTTTATCATTCTCTCAATTCATTTTAATAGAATAATTAATGCTTTAATAGTAAAATTAATTCATATAATCAGCCTGGGGTAGTTTATTTGATAATGCAATTATACTTCAATAATCAATTATCTCAATTCTTGAATGTTTGAATAATTTTAATTGAAATCAATTATTTAGCCCAAATAATCGTTTACTTGGGCTATCCAAACACCCAGACCCTTTCTCTTCCTGCAGGAGTCACTCACCATAAAGGAAGGGTCAAAATGGTAATTTTAACCTAGCCTTCCTCGTTGGGAGAATCAACTCTTATCAAGCACGCATCCCATTAGTCTTTGTTGTGTAGAATGTCATTGGTCCATTTTTAAACTTTTTCCATTGTTATTGGTCACTTCAATTAATAGTGTATTTAAAACCGAGTTAACTCCTTGTCTGTTCACAATGTTGGTATATTATATTCACACTGTAAAGGAATATTATACTTTTTCTGTTTTAAATTATAGGACACTTTTAAAAAAAATTATTTTAAAATAAAAAATAATTTGAGTAAATTAAGATTTTATTAAATGCACTAATTTCAATATTACCCTTTCTCTTTCTCTAACTAATTTCCATCATTTTTCTTTTCAATATATTAAATGATGGGTATTTTTAAAAGTTTATATTTTTATTATGAAAAGATAAGATTGTTAAGTGTATTTAATGAAATTTATTAATATGTTAGATTTTATCTAAAAATGTTTTATAATTTAAGACAGAGGAAGTATTTTTTTTTTCTTCGCTATGAACCATCATGCCCTTATTTTATTGGTCTTTTTCCTTTTTAATTAAATACAACTTTTACATTCCCCTTTGTCTATCCACTTCTCTCATATTCAATTAACTATAGTGTCTTCTCACTGTCTTTATTAGAAATGAAGATTAATCTCTCTACTTGTTCCATTTCACCCTTTTTCAACCGATTCTCATCTTTCTCCTCTGGTCTTTAGGAATTTGATTCTCTCATTTTTATTTCAATCTTGCAATTTTTTTGGTTGATGGGATATGGATTGTGTATGGATGTTATTTCTTTATTGGGAAACAAGGCAGCTCCTACATTTTGTCATTTCAAGTTAAGTTTTCCTTGCAAATTGAACACATTACATCTTTCGCAACCTAACATATCATTTAGGAAAAATTGGTGAAAAGGATTAGGTTGGAACCAAAATTGGTCCCAAGCACTAAATTCAGTTGAAGGACCAAATATAATTTTTATTTCATGGTCTGATCGAAATGCCCTTGCTAGAAACCAATTTTTTTTAAAAAAAATTGCCCTCTCTTCTTACTTTCTTTGCATGATTTGAATCAGAGAAGACGGTGAGGGATGCTTTCGATGGACAATTAATAGCAGTGTGAGGTGTGATTGAGTTGTGGGCGACAAGCATGGAGAAAGACCACCCCCTCTCTTCGCATGGTGCCCTAATTGAACAGCTTGTGATCGACGAGTCTTCAACCACAAGTTTCGAGCTCTTCAGAGTAGTGGCGGCTTGAGGGATAATGACTATGTACGCATTGTGTTTGAAAGCTTCCTTTTTGTCCGAGCAAGTACTGTTCTGTTTTCCTCTTGTTCTAAGTTGCTCCCTCTATTCTTCATGCCGTATAAGCTTACTCAAAAACTTGCAAATGAGATTGACCATGAACTTCCAATTGTTTGAACCTAGTGCTGTTAAAAAATTTCATGTAAATTAATCCATGAATAAAGTTAGGTGTGTCAAAATTACATGTTGTTTGTATTGAATTTCATGTAAAATGAATATACCTTCCTATGCCCTACCTACCTTCTATGTTAACCATTATGTGATATCATGTAAAATATTGTATGATCATGCTAACATGCCTATGGGACAATTACATGCCTATGATCATGCTAACACACACAGAACACACACGATTACATTGTACTTGAATTGTCTTCAATGTCAAGTAGTACCTAACCCTAAATTATACAATTGTGTAGGACATGTACTTTGTGCATTTGGAAATTGGCAGTCATGGTTAAGGGAAGGGATGCATGTCAGTCAAGGCTAAGTGGATTGCATGTTATTCACACGAGTTGAAAAATAAAGGCAAGGTGAAGGGTCTTAAAAATGCTGCAAAGGAAGCAAGAAAGGGGTGGAAAAATCTATCTGAAGAAGAAAGGAAACAATTCAACAAAATGATTGAGAATGAAAGGCATTATAGAACTTGCGTGCCTTCATCTAATGAAGCATTAAAAGAGAAATTGCTTATGCATTGCTTGCCTAAGCAAGTTATGGAATTGGCTTAAAATGTGAAGCAAAGTGAAAGTCTAATGGCGAGGGTCAACGTAATTGGTTTTGCGAAGCTCCTTAACATCAAGTGTAGGCAATTAAACCATGCTCTATGTGGAAGTTTGTTGAGAGCAATTGAACCAGAAGTAAGAATGCTATTAATAAGGAAATTGAGTGACAAGTTGATGGCAATGATGTGTACATGCTTATGGGTCTACCAAAAGAAGGAGGGGAGGTGGTTGCAGAAGTTGGTGAGCTATAAAATGAGTTGAAAAGGAAGTATGTTGGTTGTAGATTTTCAGACATTAAAAACATGATCATTAAAGGCGATAAAGAAGATTTGTTTGAGGTATTGATTTTTCTGTATGTAAGATCTCCCTTTATAACCACTGTTAAATTCAAAGCTAAGGTAATCAAGGGTCTCAACCCAATAAGGATTACCAAGTTTTCATAATAATAATGAGAATCAATTTTAAACAATTGCAATGGATCCCAAGATTTCAACATTTAAAATACTCCCATTCACCCTCAGTAATCTCAAATCAGAGTTTTAAAACCTTTGTGGAAGCCTAGGATTCAAATAAATATCAAAACATTTGATTTAAAGTTTAAAACTATGAATTATGTAGAAAATGGCACGTGTGCCTTAGCTCACTATAGATGTGCCGTGGCTTGTGAGCCTCTGTGCCATGCTCCGTGATGTGAGGTGCCATATGCCACAGTACATTGCATGAGTTTTGACAGTAAAACTTTTGCTGTCAAATAACAACTTAGCGACTAACTTTCTATGCGTCCTAAATTTTCGTCTGATGTCCAATTGAGGTGATTTCAATGTTTAAACAGAGCTTTCTCCTAGTTCTAGCTAATAGTATAAGTTTCACATTCAGATTTATTTTCTACAAAGAGTTGGGTACCCAAATCCATTTTCATCATTTTTCACAATTTTACATGAATGGGGTGTCTAAACTCATACACAAGTGTCAAAAGCCCACACCAATCATTTGACCCCATTTAATGGACCATAAAAGACTCGTGCAACACACCACTATCACACAAATACACATATAACACAAATCCACCACTCAACCCCTAATTTCATAAAACACAAAGGGGAGGAAATTCTTGGACAAATCATTCATTTTCATTCCAAAACATTGAAAATATACATTTTTCTATTTGCACAAGTATTTTGGCCCTATACAAGTTTATAACCAAAACTCACTAACCCGTGGCACAACATACACAAGTTGTATAAATAATAATACAAGTAGCTCAAAACAATCATATGATTCTCAGTTGGCAAATTAACAACACTAATACACATAAACAACATAATGAGGCATACAAATAGGATTTACTCTACAATCCTAACCCTCAACATGTTTTCCTCAATCTTAGTCTGATGAACTAGGTCATGAAAATATTGAAGATTAAGGGGTAAGTACAACTACTCAATAACCAAGGTCTACTTAATCAATATAGTTGCATATTAATTAAAAATAAATCTGAATGGAAATAAACTCACATATAATGCACATATAACAAATATAGCCACGGCCACAATAATAACAACTATGTGACTGAACATAGATCACATATTGTAACATCATAAATTTCTTAATCTTGTGATTAGCTATTAATTAGGGATAAAGTGGTAATTAGTGTGGGATTAGAGATTTGGATGGTTAGTTCATTACTTGTATCTTTGGAATGTTGTATGAATAAATATGGGTGGAAGGATCGCATTTTGGGTCGAAGCAAGTGCGTGTGGTGATAATTCTTTTCACTGTTCCATGTGCCACAGCACATGGACCATAAAATGACCGTATAAGTCATCAATTTTGAGGGAATTTCAGAAGGGAGAAATTAGAAACACATGAAAGGAGAAGAGAAGAAGGGCTAGTATGCTAGGGTAAGAGATTTTGGAGCGGTGGAAGGTGGTTTTGATCAGTAGCTTAGCAGGTAAGCTATGTGTAACTTATACCTTTTATTCTACCTAAATTTCTCTGAATATGAGTTATAGAAAAATTGAATCAGTGAAATTTTAGGGGTTTGATTCTAGTTCAATAGTAATAAAAAAGTTCTTGAGAGTTAAATTAGAGCTTTGTGTCTGGTTTAGAGCTAAACGATAGATCTTTAAACTCGTAGGCTCGATTTGGCCCTAAATCAAGAGGAAATTAGGGTAGAAATCTTTTTTAATTGAAATGAGATTAGTTGAGGT